GGGGGGGGGGGGGGGGGGGGGGGGGGGGGGGGGGGGGGGGGGGGGGAGAGAGAAGGAGGGAGAGAGAAGGAGAGGGTGAGAACCTGGAGGCATCGACTAGCGTGCAATGTGCTGAAAGGCATGCAGAGAAAGTGGTGGCACACGGGAACATCGCCCCCATGCCTGCAGACTTGTTGGTAGCGTGCAGCGTGCCACTTTCGGCACGTTTGTGCAGCCGGTCGGTTTGGTTGTCCTTCTTCACGAAGATGCGTCGTGTGACAGACAGACGCAGCCAGAACACGATTGTCGCCTTTCCCGTCATGTATTTCGGTTGCTTTGTTTTAGTTGAAACATAGACGGAGGGACGGACAGTTGGGACGACAGACACACCCGTTGGTCAGCCGGTTAGCGCGGTCGGTGCTATCAAGGAAACACAGCCAGACAAACACAAACAGGCAGAGACTAGGACTTGGGGCATTTGAACAGGGCGCGCCATTTCACACGGGATATTCATATACCCGGGCAATATGATGACGCCCTGCACTGCAAAGAAGGTTCTATCGTCGCAGGCTGCAAACACTGCATGGGCATGGAGATGTGCGTGGATATGTATCCCTATTGATCAATTTTCTGCTGCTTACATTCAGCAAGCGTTTTCCTGTCTCTTTTTATCGCAATATGGTGAACTTGACGGCAGTCGATCCCATCGACATTTACCACTCCCTCCCTATCGAACGAAGAGGATACTTTTTTCGGCATGACTGCCCGCGAATCGGCATATGCCATTTCAGCCTTTCCCCTCCCGGCTGTCTTTATGGGGGCAATTCTCTTCCCCCCACGTGGTCCATTTACCGTGTGCCTCCCTTCCGTGCGGTCTTGCCTTGTCTACTGAGAAACTACGGGGGCGGGGGGCTGAGGGGGGGGAGTACTCATGTAAACGCATGCAGTAGTCGTTTGATCGTTGACCTCGCATCCCCAGACGGAGGAGCGATATGCCGGGTTTTCGTCGGCCCAGGTTACGGTTCACAAGCATGAACCAGAAGCTGGTCATTGTCCTTTGGTTCGCTGTGCCAACGCAGATATGCCATAGTTGATTGGGGAGGACGGGGGGGGGGGCGCGAAGGTCTAGCGTTGCTATATTTCAAGAAGATGTGTGTGATGCACCACGTCCTGCATGGAGCATCATTTCACCACCCCCCCCTTCCTTCCCCTTCCTCTCTCCGTCGTGCTTGCAATCCCCGAACTGATGCGTCTGCACACAGGGGAGTGGCTCGTGCACCTACACCGTCTGCGCGTCCTTCTCGTGGAACGCCAACGGAACTGTCAACTACGAGGTGATTGGCGGGGTACCGCACCCGTGGCGACAGCTATAGCTCATAGAGTGAATGCTTTTCAGGAGGGTCACAAGGGGGGGGGAGGGGGGTACTCAAAGCCGTGCATGCCGAAGTCGTTAGACCATTGACCTCGCATCCCTACAAAGCCGGGACGGAGCACGCCGGATTTTCCCCGGACGAGGCTTGCACATCACCAGGGGGAGGGGAGGAGGGTCATGGCGCACCATCGTGGATTGATTTTACACGCAGATGAAAACAGAGAGGCGTTAATTTGTGCCAAGGAGGTTATTTGGTGAAGGGGGACGGAGAAACTACACCCCCTCTTTGGTGCGCACTAGAATGGAATCGAATTGGCAGGGACAAGTGCGTGGTATAGGGAGGAGACCCACGCATTTGCTCGCCTCACGCGACACGCTCGAGAGAGTCTGTGGATGTCTTGGTCGGGGCCGGCCACCTGTCGGGGCCGGCCACCTGTCGGGGCAGGCCATTTGTCGGGGCAGGCCAAGGTGTCGTTCAGGGCAGCGAAGCGCGTGAGTGATCAGTCGATCCACTGCAGCAGGAGCAGCAGCAGCAGCAGCAAGCAGTCACAGATGATGAGAATCGCGAGTGCACGAATCGCTGTTCCTGTCTTTTCAGGTTTGACTTCTCAACGTACAATTTGTCTCCTCCCTCTTTGACCTCTCATCCCGGGCTACTGTACCTCCCCGTTCCTTTCCATCCGTGGTCTACCTGATTTGCTTCCCCGGGGCAAAAAAGGTCGTGGTGTCGCACGGCATGGGGACGGGCATGGCGAGGACCATAGACCTCGAAGTTTACCTCAACTACAACGACGAGGGAGGGGGGCCCGTGTCGGGGGACTCGACGGAGATGCACTGCGCTCAAGACGCGGCTTGCGTGGAGGCGACGGAGTGCGGCGAGGACTCGGCGGAAGTTAAGGTAACTAAAGGGTGTTGCGGTTTCTTGTTGGTTGTTGCAGTTGCGGTTGCAGCGGGGGGGTCGACAAGTTGTACATGAAGGTGCACATCATGTCGCGCAAGAATTTCGCACTGTCTGACGCTTCGAAGTAATTTTTTCAGGGTTTTCAAGTGTTGAAGCTACTGAAGTATGTTTTGTTGTGTTTCGGGACGGGTAAGCGAACGCCCCCCCCCCCCCCCNAACAAGCCAATTCACTTCGTGAACTCGGCAAACAGGTTACCGTTGTTTTTTTTTTACCTCTGAGTTGTTTTTTACAGTAGCCATAAAATGTGGTCGAGTAGATCGTGATGTGCGGGGTCGAGAACCCTCACTCCGCCAAGGGGGATGATAGCACCACGTTGTGTTAAAATGGTCAAGTACCCTCGAGGCAGTTACACAGTACTTGTAACTGTCTGTGGAAGTGAGAACACCAGAAAATAAATTAAGTCATACGCAGCTGTCATCCGTACGCAAGNGTTTTTTTTTTACCTCTGAGTTGTTTTTTACAGTAGCCATAAAATGTGGTCGAGTAGATCGTGATGTGCGGGGTCGAGAACCCTCACTCCGCCAAGGGGGATGATAGCACCACGTTGTGTTAAAATGGTCAAGTACCCTCGAGGCAGTTACACAGTACTTGTAACTGTCTGTGGAAGTGAGAACACCAGAAAATAAATTAAGTCATACGCAGCTGTCATCCGTACGCAAGGAAGTAAGCACAAGATGCCGAACACCCTTAGCAGGATGCAGGGCACCCTTCATGCGACTCGCCGAATACCTCACGGCGCTTCGCGCTTGGTGATGTGAGAGCCTGGTCCGGTGAGAACCCGGCGTGCTCCGCCCCGGCTTTGTAGGGATGCGAGGTCAATGGCGCACGACTATGAGTATGAGTACACCCCCCCCCCCCTCTCCCAATGCGGTTACCGACCAACCAAAGGTGTTGACCTTCGACAGCTACGGCGACGGTTGGTCTGATCCCTTCGGAGAGGCTACGGAGTTCTGGACGCTCACCGGCGCCACGGGGAGCTGGTCCGGCAACCTCATGAAGGGCCACGCGGCGGCGCGGTCGACGCTCTGCCTTGCCGACGGAGACTATGACTTCTCTGCGCCGGGGGCCGTCTCGTGGGTAAGCGAGAGAGCCGTTATTGAGCCAGGCAACAGCCAACTGCGGTTTCATTTCGGGATAAAGGTTGAGCGACCCGGCAGCAATGCAGTATAATACCCCCGCCCTCGGAGTCTTTCGTGTTTTGTAAGCGAGTGAAGTGCTTGCTTGTGGATAACCACGTGGTTTTCGTTCCAGGTCCCGCCTGGCGCTGCTCCCGCGTGTCTGGGAAGGGCTTGCATGCTGCACTACGTGGGAAGAGTTTCCTAGAGCACGCGAGTGAGTGCATGGGGTTAGGGTTAGGCGATAACTCCCCGAAAGAATCCTCATCTCGACCTGAACGAACCGTAAACACCCGCAGAGAGCAGCAGGGTGGAGAGAATTCTGTTGGTGTGGCTTGAGAATGCAGATACTTCATCCTCTCGCAACACCCCGCCCCTCCCCTTTTACTGGTTTTCCGCAGCCCAGCGACGTTTCGTGGACGGTCTGCGATACCGCTGGTTTTGCCGGGCAAGCCGTGGCCATCACCGTGGCGCACGGGGCGTGTTCGGTGGCCGGGGAGGTGATCCAGGTGTCCCCTCTGTCGCTCGCCGCACCGGGGGTCGGGGATGACAGCATGTGTGGAGACTCTTGCGCCGACTTTTCGGCATCGGAGGTGCGCCGGCTTGAACTTTTCAGAGGAAGCAAACCGTGTTTCTATCTGTACGTGTTGTTTCCGTGTATCTTGGTGTACGTGGTGTGTTTCCCTATACTAAATATTTGGTTTGCTTCATCCGCTTCTGCAGAACAACAAGGTGTCGTTGTTTCTTCTCGGCGACCGAAAACATGCCAACAAAGTTGCAATCCCCCTCCCCCACCGCAAGCTCTGCACACACACATACCGACCCCTCCCCCCCCTGACCCCTTCTCAGCTGGCGGGCTCGCACATTGGCGTGTACTACGAGCCAGAGTGTGACCCCGCGGGCGACACTATCGAGTACGGGTTTCTAGGCAGCGGAGGCGGCTCGGGCTGCGTCGTCGACAGCTACTACACCGGCGCTCCGGCGACCTGCCGTTTCTGCGTGGTGAACCGCGACCTATGGGCGGCGGGAAACCCCGGGGCGCGGGACCCTGATTGG